GATTTATTCTATCATAATTACTGTTTTATATTTATTCATAATTAGTTATTCTAGTTTTAAAGATTTTTCTGGAGTGCCCAGTATATTTTTGTGCTTGATGGCCTACAGTATCTAAATCCGCACATGGGCAAAATTAATAATTACATTTTATTAAAATTGTAAGAGGAATGATATATTCAGCCTTTGGTAGTGTTAGTATTTTAATAGAAACCCCTTTTCTCTTCAGCACTATATTTTATCTAGTTGTTTGCATTTCCTGAAGAGTAGTAATGCATTGAATGCTTGGATGGATCCAATGTCTTATTTTCAAAACATTTAAACCCCTTTTCATTTTTAGCGTAACATTCAGACAAACGATTACAAAAGCCTATGCCACTTGCAAATCTCTTTTGAAGATTTTATCTCCAACAATGTTATAATTTTATTATTGAAGGCCTCAATAATTCAGCTCTCAGGATTATATGTTTCAGAATTTTCATTTTATCAGCTTTAGTTTGATATGTTCTTTACACAATAATCTGCATCTAAATCAATATCATAACATGATATAAAATTACACTGAAAACCAGCAAATAGTTTCTATGAATTATACAATCTTAGCACAGGAAATAATATGGCACATTGCAATTGTAAACATAGTGGTAAAATTTCAATCAAAAGTATTAAAAAATTGAAAATTGATCATGCAGTTTAATAAAATAAGCAAAAATAAAATAGGGGAATAACAGAAAAAACAAAAAATATATTGTGATGAGAAGGATAATAAGGAGCAGTTGGAGTCAATGATTACGATTTCTGTCAAGTTAAATATAAAGTAAATACAATGTTCGAGAGAACCAAACTTGATATTGTTGTTAAGCAATCGAATAATCTATGTTTTGTCTTACCATTGGCTCAGGTAATTCAAGAAATAATGATTAAAAGAGAAACAAACATTGAAAAAATATTTGAAAACGTCACTGTTCTCGTAATATTAGGGAAATTATTTCGTTTTCCCTCAAATTCCGCTTTGGAAATAACCCTTCTGCCAATTCGTTCAGATTGTGATATTTACCGCGTGTCCGCCAGGCAACGAACACCATTCAAAGTGATTCAAAACAACGAAACTTTGAAGAAGCATGAGCCCTGAGCAGTCATGTCAATCTCAAGGCGTTGCGGCGTTGCCCAATTTACTAAAGACTTTTCGCTCCACTTAAATATGGAAATTTTTGCCATTATTAGCGATCACTGTACAAAAACATATAGATATGTGTCTATAATGTTATATTTTATGATTTTGATCGTACTAATTGTGTAATAGTGCTTTTTTATGTTCAATTCTATGCTTTAATTTTTCATTGCGTTGCCTCGTGATTAGTTGTTACTAGGTAAGAAACTAGTCAACGGTAGCTCTTTTGTGATATTAAAATATTTTTATTTTACGTCAATGAAACATAATTAATTCGAATAATTAAATAAAACTCAACATAAAAGTCCCTCCTATGTTTACGTAGGTCTCATAATAACCACATACCTCGCAAAAAAATAATTTTGAACGTAATATGGACTCTATGTACTAGGGAATATCTCGCTTTAACCACCTTAATGGGTGAAAATTGGTTGATAGAAAATGTCAAAAATGCTTTGTGGCATTTTCACATATATTTTCTTCTATCTAATGTTTTCTACATATTTACTTGTAGCAGTGAGAGCTGGTGCCCTCTCCCCCGCATCTCCATCGAATGACGGAGAAAATGAATTAGATAAATGCTTTAATTCTTCTGTCATATGGGAAGGGCCTAATTATTCTATCCGCAAACTGTTTTATGCGAATTCGAGAAGCTTCATGTTTCTTCTTCGAGATTTAAATTGTTAAATACCTAGTAGAAGGGATTCCTTAATAAATTCGTTATTCTTACCTTCCAAGCACACTCACGCAGTGGCGTATCCTTCGGACCCACAAAGCCCGCAATGCGGGCGTGCTTCTTCAAAGAGGGGATATTTTTATTATTTAAGGTACTAACACTACTTGTGTTGGCTGTACACTTATAAAGGGGGCAAAAGAGAAAACGTTTTGCGGGGATCCGCACTCATTCCGTTACGCTACTGCTCCCACGTAACCACTTGTACTTACTACAATAATCTGTCTTAAATTTTAATTTAAAAGAAATATATTTTGTGTCAACATTTGAACACTTTAAGTATGTTTTCCAGGTCTCTTAATTTCAATTTTTTCATATACAGGACGTGAAGCAAAAGCAATTTCTATTAATGCAAATGAATTGTTTATCTCTCTTTCTCTTCTCTCTCTCTCTCTCTCTCTCTCTCTCTCTCTCTCTCTCTCTCTCTCTCTTTCTTTCTCTCACGCACGCACACACTGTAACGCGTAACAACGCAAAATACGCACGGAAAGGCACCACGAGCAAGGCACGTAATCATGCGTACTGCAACAACTGCCGAGCACTGGCCGACCACTGCATGCGGTTTCACACAGGGATCAATTGAAAAATAGTATCCCGGTCAACTTTTCCACAAAAGAAACTGCACTCTTCAAATAAAGATTTTGAATTTATAAACCTAATATCAATAAAAATAATTTTTCAAACTTCCTAAATAATGCATTTAATGCTGTCAAAAATTAACTGACTTTGTATGCCTTTAATAAGGTTCGAATTACTAAATATATTATATTCACATGAAGACTGACAAATGATATTTCCTCAATTCTATCAAGGACAGACAGCGAAAAATATGCAGGTAGGCTTCCGCGGCTCGAGTTCATGACTTCTAGGCTGTCCGGGTGACGCCGCGTCGTTGGCAGAGAGGCCGAGTTTTCGCCTGTCATATTGCAGGCTTCTTCAGGGTAGTGACCAGCCAGCGAAAAAGTCCTAGCGATTTTCGCTGACAGCCTGAGGCGCTATCTATGTTATCGTTGCGGTACTGAAACGCACGGGAAATGACCGAGTGTTTCGCAAGGTTGACGCACCGCCGGGCAGCGCCGCCTGTCAGATGGCTCTTGCAAACATCCAAAGAGCGTGGCGTCACGTATCAGCGCGCTGCCTGGCTTGAAACTAGTCGCCAGAGAAGACGCTCAACATTTACCTATGCAGATACGAAATAAGTCTTACGTAATAAATTGTATTTTGTCTAAATGTAAGAGAGCTGAATGTAATTTCATACTTTCCAGGAAGCTATTTTGTAGTTTTGCAGAAAACAAGCCTGGAGTGATTTGGTTTTAATATTACACTATTGTTTATTTATTTAATTTCAATTTTTTATCCGTGAAATTGATGTTTGAATAGTCAAGGTTCTTCAATAAATCACCGAAATATGACACTGGGTAATTATTCAATACATTTTTGGTTTGGTATATCAGTTGTAACGTCAATCAGGGGCGTCCAGAGTGTGACGCTGCTGGGGCAAATTACCCCAAGCTCCCATTTAAGTGGGGCCCCGAAAATTTAAATAAATACAACAAAAATATTTAACTATAGTTGAAATATGATTCACTTAAAAATATACTAATAATTAATGATAATAATAAATAACAGGAACTATTGTTGGAAATAAGGGGCCCCGAAGAATCTACTTCACCAAACCCCTTGTTTTCTCTGGGCGCTCCTGATGTCAAAATCTTTGTAGTCAGAGGATTTGTGTGTTCTCATAAACAAGGTTAATACATACAATATATACCCATATGTAGGAAAATGTTGTATTTCATGCGCAAGTAAATGTATACATGTAAAGCTGTTTTTAATACATATTTGTAAAAAAGTGTGGGGAAGTTATTTCACATATTTTATGTATTTTTATTTTAGTCTATATTCTTCAGGGCTTATTAACCCCCGCGGGGCCTCGATAGGGTCTTCACACGGGGGCCCTTGCACGTGGGGGGGGGGGAAATTGATGCAACTTAAACATCTCAAGAAAATGTTATTCAGTACTTAATTGTTCAGGTAGGAACTCAGTAGTAAAAAATAAGCTTCACAAAGGAACTACATTAGTATTTTTCTGTTTATATAGTTTATAAAATGACAAGAAAAAAGATCTAAACAAAATAATATTTATTGAGAACCTTAACAGGCCATATCATACGATTGGTGAAGTATTTCAGTGGAATTCTGAGATATGGGCGGCCATGTATCAATCTCGCTGACCACGGTAGAGGCTGTAACTGGAGAGTTCAGAGAATGCGTTCGCCACGGGATTCTTTTCCCCGTGGGCTGCGAAAGGAAGTAAGACCAACGTCAGCTATTACGATGAATTCGTAATGCAGAACCGCATGTCACCAAGATAAGATCCAAAGCGATTCGCGTGAGCAGACTTCTGTTGATGAATTCAGCGAAGACCCACAAACATGGCATATCCCGATCTGATTGTTGATATTTGGAAAGGTAAATGCCGGATGATAGTGCTCTCAACAATTAAAGTTTCTATTAATATAACTGACTGCACCAAGGGGCATTGGCTAGAAGAATTGGCATTGGCTGGAAAGAATATCGAATCCCTTTCTGAATTTGAAACATTTTCTCATATGACCGATTTTTAATGAAATAGAATTATAATGGATCCAAACAAAAACAATAAAGTCACTTTTTCATCTACTGAAATTCGTTTTTATTTTCTCTAAACGAAACGTTTTCCAAGAAATCTTTAGTTTTCTTACAACTTCTCTCATGCAGAGCCAAGACATGATTAAAAGGAGAAAAACTCTTAGAAAGATACTTTTTCCTTCACTTGAATTGAGGCCGACCTTATATTATCGTCGAGATAGGACACTCTTTCCTTTCGTTATTTTTAATGCAATTTAAATGAAATCAAGAAACGAGTGTTCCATTGAATTCCATAAGTGGCATTTAAATCTGCCGCTCTGGTCAGTCACAATAATCAGGCAGCAAAACTACGGGTCAAAAAAAGGTAGAATTTACATTATTCGCTTTAAATATTAGATTTCGTAAAAATTATTATTTTACATACATTTCTGTATTGAAAGTTAAATTTCTCGTAAATTAAATGAAGCTTTAAGACTTGAAATATTGATTGATTAATATCCCGTTTGTAACAGATGCATTTAAATGAGCGAACATTAGTTGGCAATATGAACTTTTTAATATCTTTGAAACGTTGTGAGCGCGGTTTCTCCCACTTGTGGTATGTTTCACTTGAGTGCGTGAAAGACAATTTTTTGTTGTCATATTTAAAATTATGTGAAAGGAAATGTGTGTTGGTGTGTAGTGGTTGATAGCAATTTCATTGCAGAAACTATTGGTAGTTCGAAGGGAACTTGTTATTATGACATAATGTTAGAATCCCATTCACGTGGCCTTACCTTTTAACTACCTGTTATCACGTTATTGACGTGACTACATTGGCTCTTATCATAAGCTCGTCGCCCGTACTTTTTAATATTTTAAATGAGTGAATTGCCTCCGGGCAATTACTTGTATTAACGGAAGAGTTTTACTCCCAAGTTATTGCCGACGTACGGCGATTTTTAACGGAGATCGATTTACAGGACTTTTCGCATCAACATTTTTGTGAGAGTGACGTAGTGTTTGATATTATCAGTAAGTATTAAAGATTTTTTTGTCAAATAGATTATAAATAGTGATATTGAAGCAACGTGATACCGCAATCGTGATTCCGAGATACACCCGATGATGTACAATCTTGGAATTGTTACTTCATTTTTTCAACTCATGGCTCTCAGTGGAAGCAAACATGCCAGAGATAATTAAAATGTAATAATGGAATTAATAAAAAGAGAAATTATGATTTAAATTTTCAGTGATGCTTTTTCAGTAATGTAGTAAAACCCCATATTTACAGAATTGTAATCCTGGCATGAAGATTTAATTTTAATTTAAAATATCAGTACACAGAATACACCTAACATAGCCAAGGATGAATTTCAAACTGTTAAAATTTCTACAAACTGTCAAGTGACTTCTGAAACTAATCATTTTGGAAAATTGTCTTCTTATTAGCGTGGGTTAATTGTAAAGTTTATGTGAATGTTTTACCTAAAAAAGACTTACCAAAGCAGGGCATGTAGCTAAATATTTAGTGATTCAAAGTGTAATGAAATTACTCATTGGTATAAATTTGTCCTTTTAACATCTTCATAGCTTCAATGCAAATATAGATAAAGGTGACTCTGTGCAATTGCACTCAGGCCAATGTGGCCCAAGGAAGTGGTGATGGTAGGACTAAACCTGTTCATCACAAGGGAGATGTGGGTTGAGCACAATGTGCTGACTGCCTTTACCTTAAAAGAAAAATTCTTGCACTTGCTTGGAATGGAGGCTGAGTGTACCCCTAAACGATAAAATATATTTACAATTTTTTAGTTTTAGTGTTTTATCTAATTATTCTATTATTATAAAAATCTTGACATACCCCTTCACAATGCAAAACCTTGAATGGGGAGTTATTAAAAGTTAAATACAAAGTTTAAATATACTAGCAGCAATAACTTATCTTAATTCAATTTGTAAACAGTCTGCTCTATTTTCAAAATTGCCTTTCTTTAATTTATTTGAACCCTGAGGCAAGTATGTTGTTGAATTCGTATTAAATACTTCATTTATATAATTTTTTGAGAAGTGCTGTGTAAAGTAATCAGTCTTGAAACCTTAAAAAAAATGTTCTTGTTTTTTCATGAATGTCTTCTAGGTGAAAAATGAGTTGGACTGAGGTTGAATCAGCAATAAAATCATGTGTGGTGTCAAAAAAAGGTGTCATGACTCTGACAGATCTTGAAGGTAAAGTTTCCTTTTGATGTGTTGAAACATTAGGATATTTAAAGTTATGCTTCAATTTCGCTGTATAATAGCTAGCTCTACATTTTTTAATAAATTGTTTTAGCCTACTTTATAAGTTGGTTTGTTTAATTATACCTTAATTTATGCCATTTCTTTATTCCAGGAGAATATTATGAACTTGTTGGCCAGGCCATTCCATTCCGAACATTCGGTTGTGATTCATTAGAAGTATTTCTGCATAAGATTTCAGGTGTTTATCTTTCTCAAAATGGAAGAGGAGAAATTGTTATCACAGCTAATAGCAAGAAAACTGAACATATTGCAAACTTGGTTAAGAAGCAGAAGGCTGATCCAAAGGCTCTTAAAAAAAGGGTTAGTATTGATAATATAGACTGATGGATGAGAGCATTTTAGTCTAGAATTTTGTATTGATTGTCTTGTTTCATCGGTTCAATTGTTGACTCTTTTTGTAACCTTTTTTATTTAAGTTACAGCAAAACCTGGCTACAATAATTTTTTTTTTCTTTTCATTTCCAAGTTAAATGTGTGAAACTTTTAGGTTGGATGTAATAATGTACGTTTATTGAAAATACAGGATTACAAGGTGTTAGGCCATAGAAACATCTACTTTGTTCAGATATAAATTATGAAAAATGCTAATTTGGGAATAGATGAATGTGGCATGCACATAATGACATGCATTACATGCAATGTATAGCATTCAAAACACACAAAGTAAAAGATTACTCTTAAAGCATATGAACCATTGCTCTTAGCAGAGCAATTGCCTTCACACACAGACCTGCCCTTCCATTTGTAAACACTAGCTCCTAAAACTTATTCAGGATAGTTTCAGAAATGGATATTCTCAAATTGTCTGACATCTCCAATAAAAGAAGGGAATTCTTCCAATGAAAACTATCATTGCCATCATACTGGTTGCAAACTTTTTCATTTAACTTACGTAAATTTTGATTAGTAATACTCAAAATGAAAATATTATGATTATTTTACTGTATTACATTTAGAAATTTTGTTAAGAGTATTATGATGGTGTGATAGTGTTGATTTAGTTTGTTTGACTTTCGTTTTCCAGACTAAAGTTACTTATTCTACTCCAAAGAAGCGGTTCTGGGCAGCAAGACGAAATACTTCAAGACATTTTGTAAGTGTTTTGTTTAATTAATTCTTTGAAGAAAAAAGAGGAGTCTAAAATACACAGCAATTTCACTACATTTATTGTTACACATCTGTTCAAATTATTAGACTTGGAATTCAGTTTTCAAAGAATTGGATTCATCATGTAACAGTATACTGTAAACCATGTATGTACCTACACCAAATTAATTATGAGCAATCATTCACAATGATTGAAACTTAAGTTTCTCAAATTTAATAAATATAACATATTTAAATGAAATAGGTGTAATGTAACTTAGTACTTACTAATTTCTTTTTCAAAAACAATCACAAAAAACAGTATTTGGTATAGATTATTAATTTTTTTATCAAGAAATTCTGTCCTTTTGGCAGGTAATCCACAAGTTTCATGCACTTGATCTTCAAATCAACGTGGTTGTGCCATAATGAATTGATTTCCTCAGTCAACTGAACTTTGTTGAAATGTTCTTTTTCAGCTTATCCTTCATGTGCACCAGAGGTTTTTTGTGGGTTGATGTCGGGTCTGTTTCCTGTCCATGGCTGTATGTATGGTAAAATATTTTTATACAAGGAATTTTTCGATGGTTTTCATTTGATGACAAGGTGTGCTGCCATGGCATTGCTTAAACAGGTTGCTGCCTTTGGCAGTAGTTCTTCCTTAAGAACTTTTAAGTATTGGTCTTATTTCATCGTTGTGTCTATGATATAAAACTTCACAAGACCAATGGAACACATTACACCCCACACCATAACCAATATTGTTTCGAATTTGAACACCCCACCCAAATTGATGTCAAACTTATCTGGAACGCTCGTTAGATGTAGAGAAACATGGTTCATCATTAAAACCAACTTTCTTCCAATCTTCAACAGTACAGTGTTTGTTTGTTGGATTTCCATGCCATTGCAGTTGTAATGCTTTCTCTCTGGAGAGAATTCTTCTGACACTGACACTTACTGGGGTAACACATGCTCAGTTCTCAACCACATTCATACTTAATTCTTTAAAGGTAGTGTTTATGTTCTTCAGAGCTATTTTTTGGTTTTGATGCCTTAAGGAGAGAGCTTCCTTGCTGAGGAGAATTCTTTAAAATCATGTAATTATAATATGTCTTCTCGTTAGCGAACCATTAAAGTGTTCTATCACACATGAAGTCTGTAAATGTCTCACATTTTACACCACTGAAGATGACGATGCCACTGCCACTGCCAACTCCTCCACCACCACTACCACTTAACCCCTGACGAGACCCCCCCACCCTCGGCGACTGCACCACCATGTCCCCCC